GTTACTCAAAACCCATACAGATACACTTGTTTGCTCATAAGAGAGAGCATAACCCAAATTAAAAAAAGTGATAAAAAAAACACTCAACACATTATTGGTGTCTGTAATAAATTCTTTTGGATTGTCTGAGGTTAGTCTGTGTGTATGTACTGTATTGCGCTGCCAAGAGTCACATTTCTGTATTCTCACTGCATTCGTGGTAGAAGTGCTAGCAGGAGCTCCAGGGGTAAGTGTAAACGCTGTTATTTTGCCCTAGATTTTGTTCATTCATGTATTCTGTTTTCTTCACTGCAATAGAAAATGACTGTTGATGCCAAATACACACTCTTTTCATGTCAGATTTTAACCAGGTATGCATCTCACATGACCCGTGAATGCTTTATGGTATCGACGTTGACCATTGGATTAAATCTTTCTCTTAAAGAAGCCAGGATGCTGTTCTCTTTAACTCCCTCTACTGTTTTCGTCTGTGAGTGTTTAAAGAAGAATTTTCTGATCAGGTCTTGCTTGCCTTTTCGCTTCCAAGATGTCCTCTTTCAACCATAATAATGAAGATTCGTTCATCAAAACCACTTGAGGATATGAGGATATCTTTTTTTTCTTTCCTTTTGAATCAGAAGATTGGCGTGATATTTTCCTTCAGCTCACAGCTGTGGTCCGGCCACAGATTTAAGAAGACCTGTTAAAACGTCTGCATTCTTCTGTCTACAGTTTTTGGCTTCTTATTGCCACTGTTTTTACTATGTTTGTTCTGGTGTGGCATTCTGTTACTTGGTTTTGAAAATGATTCAATGAATCATCTGTCCAGCTCATCTGTTGAGTTGAAGAGAATTCTTGGAAAAATAATTTGGCATTGCCAAACCTCTTCTCATTTGTTAGTCATTCTTGTGGAAATCATAATCTCTCCACTTGCCATCGACAAATATTTACAAATATTTACCGTTGACTGTACTGTAATAGAAATATGGTTATTTGTATTTCTTCATATATCATGTTCTTTGTGTGTATGCTTCAATAGTTTTTCATTTTCTATTGTAGTTGAGACCTCACAACATTATAAATGTCTTTAAGTGATATAGATGTTCAATGATTTGTCCAATTTTTTTTTTTACCTTTATTCAAAAACTGCAAAAATAATTTAGGGTATGAAATACAGAAAGGGAAAATGTGTGTGTTTGTGTGTGTGTATGAGTGCTTTGCAAACATTTGCCTTAGACCGGCAGTGTTAACACGCTAATTTTATCATTGCGCAGCATGAGGAACGCTAGTGGACTGACCGCGGCTGACCTAGCCCATGCCCAGGGCTTTGAAGAGTGTGCCCAACTGCTTTTCAATGCCCAGAACCAGCGGCTCAATCAGCTTAACGCGTTCTCAAACAATGGCTCTGTGTGTTTTGGGGACCGCAAGCTAATCCAAGAACGGAGCATCCTTAATGGGGTTCCCAGCCGAAAAAGGTCTCTTGATTGCATGGAGTCTAATCTAATTAAAAAGGCCAGAACAGATGGTAAGTCTTGACTGAAAATTTAAAGACATTTGTATGATGAACAGTTTGATACTGCATTGGGTCGCCACTTGTTAACGTGAACGTGTCATTGCAGATATCGGTTATCAGCCGATGAATGGAGTAAACGGATCCAGCGGAGAAGACCTGATGGAGAACATGCACATGGAGTTTGGCCAAGCACTGAGTACCCCAGGTGGGAACCGACCCTTAAATGGATCCCTGCCTCTGGGTTCCAATGACTACATCAGTCCAGAGCAGGACCGGGCTGTCCGAATGGAGAGCTCGTCCTCTCCAGTCCACAAAGAGTCAGAGATCTTCACCGTGACCTCAATGCAGATACCATGTCGTTGCACTAACTCCTATGCCTATTTGTAGGAGCCTTTGCCTTGGCTAAATTTAAGCTCTTTTGGTGATGTGTGTCTGGGAGGGAAAATAGTTTAATTTGGCACATATCGTATGTATAAAGCATTTGATCATAAGTTGCTCATACCACCCCGTCCTTTTATCTTTTGGTGGTATGAACTTTGTTTTAAACTGTGTTTTGCTCAATAGGAGCAAATATTGAGTTTTGTTTTTTGCACAATAACTTCCCTGAATGCCATTTTAATTTTTTAATTCTGATTCTAATGCATTCCAAGAGCAATTAAATGATTTAGATGTTTTTCCTTCTCTCTAAAGTAGTTGCGTCATGTAATGAGGCTGTTTTTATGCCCTGAAATCTATACTTGTAAAGTATGTCAGTGTTGTTTTTTTTTTTTCAGTCTTAGTACGACACTGATTTCGCAGTGAATTGCATTTGCCCAGCCAAATTTCTGACCTTGAGTTTTGTAACGTTGGATTTTGGTTTAGGAAGTTGGTTAATACTTTGGATATGAGTGACCCATATTATGTTCCTGTTAAGTAGCAAAAAAAAAAAAAAACATGATTCCAGGTTAATGTGTGTGTGTGTATATATATATAGATATATAGATATATAGAGATATAGAGATATAGAGATATAGATATATAGATATATATATATATATATATACACACGTTGAAAATATAAAATATTGTGCATTTTATTTTCCTTTTTTTAAATTTCTTAAACATTTAATTATCTTGTTCTGCCAAAGCATATCTTATCATGAATGTATAAAGTACATCTACAGACCTTCGCTGTGCAGCTTTCATACGTGTGTTCTTGTAAGGAAGTCTAGGTGCTATTCAGTCACTTCTTTAACCTTTTTGACTAAATTAGGTTGTAGTTCTTCTTTCTTTCTGTTGCCGTTATTGCAGTGTCTGTTAAAGAGGGACTGTTGTTAGATTTATTGTATCAACAATCAAGTGTTAGTCAGGTTATTGTATGAGGGTAAAAGTCTTTTTTCCAGCTAATGTTTTGCATAGCATTTCATATGTAGTGTAGAAAATATTTGCTAAACTAATTAAGTATGATAAGAGCTATGTATTGAGACAGAGGTGATTCTTTGATTACATTGACTTTCTATAAATTCATATAAAAATCATCCTTTCACACAGAACAAATGGCAGAAAGTTTGCACTGCATATAGATTAACGCATGATTTCCTACTCAGAATTACAAAGGATGTCTTACTATAAGTGCTCATTAAAACACCGGCTGTGTGACACTGAGATTGAGATAAAAATACTGTTCATGTAAAGTAACAGGATGCCTAAGATGGATGCAAAATGTAATTTCTATACTCATTAAATGTTCTCATTTAACAATCAGCGCTGACTCTTGAATTTGTACATATGAATAGTTTGTAAGAGCATGTTAGCAAAACTGAAACCACTTGCAAGTGTTCATTTGATACTGTTTTTCATAGATTAAAATGTAGCACACGTACATCATCAACATGTATTGGTGGTTTACTTCATTAACCTCTGAACTATTTTGCTGCTTTCACACTTAACATAAATGAGATTAAGAATTAGCCTAATCCCTGTTATTTAAATGTAATAAATATTAAATCATAAGGCAAAATGTTTAATGTTGAAGCTAATGTGGGCAGTGTGCCAGTGCTATGTTTTTGTAGAGCTGAGCAATATGGACTTTAATCTCTGGTTCAAATGTTCAGATTATGTAAACCGAGCTTGATGGGTGATTTAAACTCTAAACTGAACCATTTACAGAATATCTGTTAAATGCCCACAAAAGGATATTAACAATGCAAAATTCAAAACTTACTGGAAATTGTTGTGCAAAACAAAAACATTCAGTTAAGAATGAAGAAGGCATTTTTAACTTTCTTTAATTCATTTATAATTCATGTGTTCTCTTTAACAGCAGGACTCCCATTAAACGGGCATTGCCATCTTGTGCAGCACCTCAATGGAGGTGACCTGATGCACGGGAACATAAATGGGAATACAACCAAGGTTGAGAGTGGTGATCATATTGGGAATGTGGGTGTCTCCTCGCATCTTGGTTACTTTGACAGTGGCCTTCATTTTGGGCATCATAATGGCTTCGGAGATACGGCTGAGAACATGGAGGACGCCAGCAGTCAGATAGAGCATCGCAAGTCAGTCAGTGTAGAGCAGCAGTATGACCACATCACCTTCAACACCATGCACCTCTACCATGGGTGTTAGGACGTCCCGTCCAGACTCGTATGCCTTTATATAGCCATATAGAATGTGCTGAATTGCTTTAAGTCCAGAACCTTTGAAGTGGACACTGTATTTGTACTTGTGTTGTAAAAAAAAAGTGCAATCCTTTTTTGAATTTCTAATTTGGGTCATTTAATTCAGTTGGAGAATCCCAGAGGCTGGTCATTTTTTATGCATTTGTAAGGACATTTACTGTATCAGTTGTGCCTACATAAAATATAATTGTGTATTGGCATCTCTTACATCGTAGTTAGAGCTGTGTGTGAATAAAATGGTTTCACTGAATCATTTCTATGTTTTTTTAACTCACAATCTCCACCTTATTTATATGTTTTTCTTGTAGTATGTATCGTAGTGTGTAGTATATAGTGAGGATTGGGTTTTTATTGGTTTTACTGACCTGTACATATTTGGTTGTATTTTGTGATCTACCCACTTCTAAACTACTCCACCCTCTTATAAAGTATCAATATCTAACTTCCCTCCTCCTGATTATTATCGAATATATCGTTTAGAAAGTTAATAAAAACTGAACACATACCTGTTATGAAATATCTTTCGGGTCAAGGTGCAATAAGGTCGTCGTTTCTAGCACTTCCTGCGCTTCGCCGCTAGGAGGACACTGACCTCATTCCTCCACCTGAGACCGTACCAACGGCTAGAAAATAGGGGGCTTTCTGCCATTTACGTAGTCGGAGACGAACATTTCAGGCGAATCATTGAATTATTTCTCTTAAACCATAAATATTTCAAACGAATTGCGGAAATATTAATCATTATGTCTTTAAAAACAAAACATAAAATTGATCTATATACATTTTGTATGATGTTTTGAATTTTCAGTCGCAAATAACCCCTGTGTGGGACAGATGGTATAGCCGTGTCTCGTGAAAAGACGTCTTTTACTCAGAAATAAATATTAATCATCAGTGTTGTGACATACACAGTTATTTTAGGATTTATTATTAGAGCTCTAAAAATAATCGCTGACGATTTTTTAGTGTAGTTAAAGATGTCTACTCCAGCTAGAAGGCGACTCATGCGAGATTTTAAGCGGTGAGTAGCTGTAAAATGGTAGATGTGTTTGCTTTGGTGGAATAGCTGCTAGCTAGTTAGCTTCGTATCACCCAGTTCGGTAGCCGATTATTAAACACGATATAAACAATTAAAATACGCCATTTAATAATGTGCTTATCGCTTTTAGTCTGTCGGTAGTATCACATTGCCTGTTTACATTGTGGGTATTCTTAGAAACTCTACATTTATATTAGCTTATGAGCTAGCTGGCTAGTGTGAGCCGGTTAGAGAAGTTATTCAAGCTTGACTTGTCTGAATGTGATTTATGATTACAATTTTAGCCAATATCTTTGTATTTCTAGTTATTTTCATAAGGTAACCAGAAGCCACACTTTGTCGTGTAATAATCCACGGTTTTGGAAATGAATGAATGTGATCGACACTGAAATACAGTTATGATTGAGTGTTATGTGGTGGTCCCCCAGGCTCCAGGAGGATCCTCCAGCCGGCGTCAGTGGAGCTCCATCGGAGAACAACATCATGGTGTGGAATGCAGTTATATTCGGGTAAGAAGAGAGGAAAGCCGACTGATCGAGTCGAGTCTGCGCCAACCAGCAGCGTGGTGTAGCAGGGTTCCCACGGTCATGGATAACCTCCAAATATGAGGGGATTATAAAATCGACATTTACAGACCTATAAATGTTTATTATATATTTAAATGCAATTTAATGTTCAAAGGTTTGGGGTTAGTAAAATTATTGAATAAGTTAATACTTTTATGTAGCAAAGACACAGTGGGGGAGTGAATAACCAGCACTCTCTTCCACCTTCAATACCACCACTGAGGTGAGACCCTTGAGCAGGACGCCTAACCCCCAACTGCTGCCCACTACAGTGTGTGTGTGTGT